TAAGCAAATACTGAGCAATAAATGCATATGAAAATAATATGAAGAAATAAATATAATAAATAAGGAAAAACTGCCCATGTTGGTATTTTTGGAAAGACCAATGCCCCAGTAAACAACTTTAGAAGCTGAAAAATTAATTCTCAAGATCACAACAAACCACCAGGTAAACCGTGGCCCCGAGATCACATCCAGCCCACCACTTGCTTTTGTAAAGTTTTTTTTTTTTTTTTTTTTTTGTGGTACTGGGGTTTGAACTCAGGGGCTATACCTTGAGCCACTACACCAACCCTTTTTTTGTGCTGGGTGTTTTTGAGATAGGATGTATTGAACTATTTGCCTGGGGCTGGCTTTGAACCAATCCTCTTGAACTGCCACCTGAGTAGCTAGGATAACAGGTGTGAGACACCCAGCAAACAAATTGTCATTCTTTTTTGACGGTACTGGTGTTTGAACTCAGGGCCTCACACTTGCTAAGGAAGGCGCTCTAGCACTGGATTTTATTTTTGTAGTGCTGGGGATGGAATCCAGGGCCTCAAGCATGCTAGGCAAGCATCTACCACCCAGTTCTGGTTGAACATTTACTACCTGGCCTTTCACGTGAATGGAGTGTGTGGCAGAACATAGGCACTGCAATGGAAGAGGTTATTCCTGCCCTGTATCCCCTGCATTCAACCCCTCATTCCAGCCAACATCCATAGGCTGGACCACAGGAGAATAAATGGGTGTGACTCACTGAAAAAATGTTGACAAAGAATAAAATCGGAAAGAACGTGTTCAGCCATTCTCAAAACACACTAGAAAGTGACAGTCACTGAATAATGTGTCATTGAGCTAGGAATCCACAAAGCCATCAATAAGACAGAAGAGACCCTGGAAAGAGATCCTTCCACCTTTTGTAGATTTCTCTGCCTCTCTCCATGTTCCAAGACAAATGGATAAAGGTATTTTCAGAGATTAATTTGATGGGGCTAGCCGATAAAGATGCTTATATATTAAGTCCTATGAGAAAACGTACCTATTTATTCCGGCAGGTCACTGGACATATTTACTGAGTGCCTACTGTATACCAGGCCACTGGGGATAGAAGGCTGGTCAGGGACTGGGAATGGGCCAGAAGCCACTACAATCACAGCCTTCCCCCTCACAAACCCAACCTCTATGTTGTGGTCCCAGGTACTAGGGCCACTGCCAAGGCCCCACCCCAGCTTGTCTGCCACACCTGTTCGGTCTGCACCCAGAGTTCCCATCCACACTGTAAGTCCAGACCACTAGAAGATCGGCTCTCCTTGAAATTAGCAGAGGCCTTTACTCCACTCTTTTTGCTTTTTTGCTATTTATTTTTTTGAGACAGTCTCCTTATGTAGCCCAGTTGGCATGGGCGTTGACATCGTCCTGCTTCCATTTCACAGTGCTGGGGTTACAGGCACATACCACCTTCCCCAGCCCTATTTTGCGTCTTTCTTGATTTTTCTTCCCCATCCATCTTTTGTGGGTTATTTATTTTTTGGTGGTACTGGCGTTTGAACTCAGGGCCTCATGCTTTCTAGACAAGCACACTAACACTTCAGTCACTCCACCAGCCCTTCCCACTCACTTTTTAAAAGAAACCTGTAGGGCCGGTGGAGTGGCTCAAGTGTCAGAGTGCTTACCTAACAAGTGTGAAGACTTGAGTTCAAATCCCAGTACCACCAAAAAAAAAGTAAATACCAGACTTTATTCTGATGCCATAGGTCCTTCCCCTAATGTCCTCTTTGTGCCTCAGGACCCTCTCCAGAATCCCATATGGTATTTAGTCTATGTGCCTCTCAGTCTCCTCTGGGCTGAGACAGATTCCCAGACATTCCTTCTCTTTGGTGACCATGACAGTCTGGAGCCAGCCAGATGTCCCACAATGCATTCCCAATCTGATATGCATGTGTCTGTTACCTCCTGATTACACCAGGGGTACTGTACTGGGTTTTTGCAGCCACTGTAGAAATGACCACACACAAGGCATCTGAAAACCACAGGAATTCAGGGGCTGGGTGCAGCTCAGTGGTGAGTGCTTGCCTAGTATGCACAAGGCCCTGGGCTCTATCCCAATACTGCAAAAAGAAAACAACAAAAACACTTGAATTTATTCCTTGATCCTGGAGTCCAGAGTCCAGGAATCCTTGGTCACAGGGCCACACTCCCTCCCAGATTCCAGGGAGGTCCTTCCTGCCTTTGCCAGTGTTAGGGGATTGGGGAGTCCCTGGGCTTGTAGCCGAGCCACCCCAGTCTCTGCTTCCATGTTCTCACAGCCATCTCTCTGTGTGTTTGTATCTTGTCTTCTATCTCTTATAAGGACACTGTCACTGGATTTAGGGTCACCTGGAATCCAGGAGGAGCTCACCTTCATACCATGACATATGCAAAGACCTTTTTACCAAATAAGGTCCTGGTCACAGGTTCTGGGGATTAGGTTGTGGGTGTTTGGGGTGGGGGTTAACCCACTGGGGTTATGGGTTTTGGGGAAGAACACTCAGATGTGAGGCATCCTTCTTGTCACACATCAGGGGCACCATATACCCACAGAATGTGACCCACGGTCTTGACCTTGACCAGCTTGTCCCCAGGTATCCTACAGTCAGTTACCATCCCCGCTTTTTCTTTTTTTTTGGCGGCAGTGGGGTTTGAACTCAGCGCCTCATGCTTACTAGGCAAGTGCTCTATCACTTGAGCCACTCCATTGCCCTACCATCTCCCTCCCTTTTCTTTTTGGTGGGACTGGAGTTTGAACTCAGGGCTCCCCACTTGCAAAACAGATTCTCTTCTGCTTAAGTCACACCTCCATTCCATTTTGCTCTGGTTATTTTGGAGACAAGGTCTCATGAACTATTTGCCCAGCCTGGCCTTGAACTGCCACCATCTTCCCAATCTCAGCCTCCCAAGTAGCTAGGATTATGGCTGTGAGCTACCAGCACCTGCTCTATTCTAGTCTTGACAGTTGAGTCCCTTAAGCCTCGGGAAGTGGGAATCCAGGGCCAGAAAGCAGGCCCCACAGCAGCAGGTCTTGGTAGGGGTCAAGTCTCCAGCTCACAGCAGGTCAACTTCGGCCTTGGGTAAGACCCACTTTTGTTTATGCCTTCCTTCTGAGGACATGCCCTGGGCCACTATGACAATCACTTTGTGGGGTCGAAAAGTCCAGATGGGCGTATCCGAGTGACCAACCCCATTTCACAGGTGTGCAATGAGGCACAGTGAGCTCAGGATGCATCACTCTGCTATTGCCATTTGACGAATCCAAGCCAACATGCATCCCTCCCAAACCTATCCTTGCCTGCGACACCCAAACCCAAAGTCAAGACCACTGCCAAGCCTCTTTCTCCTCCTTGTTCCCTCACTAACCACACCACTCCCAGGCTCCAGGAAGGTCCCTCCTGCCTCTACCAGCATCTGGGGTCTGAGAAGCTCCCTGGGCTTGTGGCCATTGACACCCCAGTCTCTGCCTCCATCTTCTCACAACTGTCTCCTCACACCACATAGGGATATGCCTCCTCCACAGAGAAGATGAATCTTCCACTTCCCCTTTCCACCACCCTGCCAAGCCCCCATGGCCTCTGCAAGCCCCACTATACACCTCAAAGCAATCCCAGCACTCCAGTCCACAGAGCCCCCTCACTTCTCCTGCTCTGGCCTTGCAGTGGATCCCACCTGTCCAACTCCTCTGGCCTCTTGGCCTGCCCATCTTTTGAGCCTGGGGTCCTGAAATCTGTCCCCACTTCGACAACATCCCTGACAAAAACATACCCCTCCCCAGCTTCTCTCCAGAGCGCTTCACAAAACCTCTATGATACCTACTTTGCCACCTTTCACGTAACCAAGTACTTGTGTCAAGAACTGCAGGGGGAGCGTACATCTGCCCCTCACATAGAAGCCTGGAGAGTCTCCAATTTCTGGTGCAGCTGGGCAGGATCCCAGCCCACCCTCAAAGAGCTTGGGGTCAGGTGGGAGAAGGGAGCATCTTTTAAAAAACAAAGGTTCAGAATTCCAGAGGACAGGACAGGTTCCAGGAGGGCAGGGAACTTGGATGTGACCATCTCACATCCAAGGGGCAGAAGTCTGGCCCCACCAACAACAGAGTAGAGGTTGCAATATAGACAAGGCAGGATCTGGGACTCTCCATGAACACTCCTATGGGAAAAGCCACAGGAGACCCGCTACACTGAATACCAAGAAGGAAGTACGCAGGAAGGTCCCAGGACACAGGCACAGTAGGAGCCACAGAGGGGAGGAGGGGCTTCACGGCAGTGGGGTAACATTCCAGGCCAATCAGCAACAACACCCGAGCCCTCTCCCTGATAAGTTCTCCCCCCTCACCCCCGCCCAGCCCGCAAAGTGGTAAGGGACCAAGGAATGGTTTCGGGCTACTCCCGAAACCAACAACCCCCTTTTCCAGAGAGATGGTATGGGACACAGGGGTCTAGGAGGGGGCTTGGGAGCTGAGGGGTCTCTGGCAGGGATAGTGAAGTCTCGGGTTGATGGGATGGGGACACAAGGAGCAAAGATCTTTCTGATGAAGACCGCAGGGCCAGGGGTCCTGAGGTCCCTGTCAGGAATACAGGGAGGTAGCAGGGCGTGTCTAGAGGATAGTTAGATGGGTCGCTGGCAGGAAGACAAGAGTCTGGAGATGGCAGGATTAAAAAGGGTCTGAGGGTCCTAAGCCAGAGTAGAGACAGTAATTCCGCCCAGGATGGGAGGCCTGGGGATGGAGAGTGGAGAGGGTCCCCAGGATTCCAAGGGGCAGATCCTGGAACATCAGGTACTGGGGTGGAAGGGCCTCAGAGTGGAGGGTCCCGGGAGCAGGGCCTGGGGATCAAGAGGGTAAGGGCCCCAGGGCCGGGTTCAGGTGAAGGCCCGGGCGGAGGTCTGCAGGGCCTGGCCAGGGATGGAGGGGTCCTGGGTGCAGGGGGGTCCCCGTGCAGGGCCCGGGGCTCCCGCGCAGGCCGGCGGGGCGGGGCGCGGCCGCGGCGGCCCACCTGTGCGCCGGGATGCGCTGCGAGCTGAGCCCCTTGCCCACCAGGAAGTGCACGTCGCACAGCACCTCGTTGTTGAAGAGGAAGGCGAAGCGCTCCTGCACGGTGGGCTTGGTGGCCTGCCAGTTGTACACGGGCTCGCGCAGCAACGCGGCCCCCGCGCCCGGGCCAGCCGCCTCCTCGCGCTCGGCGCCCGCGGCCTGCGCGTCCGCCCCGGGGCCTGGCGGGGACGGTGCGGGAGGCCCGGGCAGCGCGGCGGCGGCTGCGGCGTTACCGGGGCCGGGGCCGCCGCGTTGGCGCTCGGCCCGGGGCAGCCCCCCGCACCAGGGCCGACCCCCGGCGGGCACGACGCGCGCCCGCCGCTGCCACCCGCCGCCATCTTGTCGCTGCGGCGCGGGGGAGGGGCGGAGGGAGGAGGGGGAGGAGCGTGGGGGAAGGGGGAGGGGAGGGGGCTGGGGAGGCTATTGGGGCCGGACCTGGGAGGGACATGAGCAGGGGAGGGGTGTGGTGTGAGCAACGAGGAGGGAGGGAGCAAGGGAAGAGAGGGATCAGGGAGTAGCAGGGAGGGGGGAGTAGCGGAGAGGGGGGGAGTAGCGGGGAGCGGGGGAGAGGGCGGGAGAGGTTCAGAGTGGGCGGGGCCCAGGGCCGTGGTGGGGTAGTGGGGTGGGAAGAGGGGGCGTTGGGAAGCGGACAGTAGGGCTCAGGGACCAAAAATCCCCCAAGCTACGCTCAGAGCCAAAAGTTGTGACCTCAGATTCTCGACCCTAAACCCCAGACACTGGATCCCAGACCCCAGATATTGGACCCCAGACTCCATACTCAGATCCTGAGTCAGGGGCTTGAGTCTCAAATCGTAAACACTGGCCCACTGCCCCCAAATTCTGAACCCCAGACATTCAGACTTCCAGACTGAAATTCTAGATCCCATTGCATAGACCCCAGACAAAATCCCAGTCCCTGGACTCCACACCCCAATCCCTGATTCTGGACCCCAGTCCAAACTCGTTTGCCTGTCCAGTGGAGGGGCTCCATGCCCAGAGGAGGAAACTGAGGCTTGGGGAAGCTGCTGCTGTGATTCAAGACTCAAGGGATACGCAAGGGACCTCCTCCTGCCCAGGTCTGGCAGGACAGTTGCAATTGCAACATATTAGCGACATCCACAGATTTAAAGTGGTCAAATTTTGCCATCAGGCACTAGTGCTCAGAGAGCTTAAAACAGGGACAGCAAGCTGGGAGTGCAGCCATGGAGGGCTTCCTGGAGGAAGGGTTTCAGGAGGAGCCACTACCAGCAAGGAGAGCTGCTGGAGTCATCAGGAACCCCTGCAAAGGCCTTGAGCAGCCTCAGATGGCCTGAACTTGTCCATGGATAGAGGGTGGTCAGCACCGCTCAGACCCCTATAAGGTTGTAGGGCCAACTCTACCTGCCGGATGTTTGAATACACTTTGATCATTTGGAAATGCATGAACAGGTAGAAGACCCCACCCTCCAGTCTCTTAGGCCTGCCCACTCACATGGAGAGGGCACCTTAGCCAGTAAACCCAGGGGAGTCACCAGCTGACATGCCAGCCTAGTGTCCATTCTCTGTCCGACTGTTCTTTACCAAGCAGATCTGGATTGGCTCACCAGGGCCAGCTTCCCTCCCCGCTCTGGCTCTGCTGCCCCCATCTTTAAATTCTCCGTGGTGTTCCTGTTTGTTTTGGTTTTGGAGACAGGGTCCCACTATTATAGCCCAGATTGGTCTTGAACTTTTGATCCTCTTGCCTCTGCCTCCTAAATACTGGGATTTCAGATAGTTCTTTAATAAGGAACCCCACATTTTCATTTGCACTGTCCCCATGACCCCTGTAGGACTTGCTAATCTTCTTCCTCCACCTCTGTTGAACATGGATTCCCTCTCTTCATGACAACCCTGGCCTCTTGCCTTTCTCTCTCTCTCTCTTTTTTTTTTTTTTCTGGCAGTAATGGGTTTGAACTCAGAGCCTTGAGCTTGCTAGGCAGGTGCTCTGCCACTTTAGCCATCCTGCCAGCCCTCTCAATTTATTTATCTTTATACAGTCTGTTCTCCTCCAGATTTCAATCAGATTTCTTGGAACATCTGTTTAAAGCCCTCCAGAGAGTTCCTTTGGTCGCCTTGGACTGGGGACACCCTCTGCCACATAGCCCTTGTCCATTAATGCTGAACTCCAAACAGTCTACCTGCTCAATCTCACTGTCTCTGGTCTTTGGAGCAGGAAATTTAAATTTAAACCACACCTTAAAACTTTACAACCATGGACAAAGGCATTCCAAACCTTGGGGTAGAATGTAATTTTTAAAATTTCACTTTTATTTATTTATTTATTAGGGCTGGGGATGGAACCCAGGACCTGGAGCATGCTCGGTAGGTGCTCCATCACTGAGCTATATCCCCAGTGGAAAAAAAAATCAGTTTTATTTTATTCACTCTAAATATATTAAAAATAAAACTATGGGGCTGGTGGAGTGGTAAAGTGCCTTCCTAGCAAGTGTGAGGGCCTGACTTCAAAGCCCAGTACTGCCAAATATATATATATATACAACAGACATTTTGATTTTAGCCAGGTGCCAGTGGCTCATGCCTGTAATCCTAGCTACTCTGGAGGCATAGATCAGGAGGATCGCAATTTGAAGCCAGCCCAGGCAAATAGTTTGGGAGACCCTATCTCAAAAAACCCATCACAAAAAAGGACTGGTGAAGTGGCTAAAGGCTTAGGTACTGTGTTCAAGCCCCAGTACTAAATGAATGAATGAATGAATGAATAAATGCAACTGTGGAAAAGCCAGAAAAGAGTCAGAACTGATAGGGAAGATGTAGATTAGAGCACCAGAAGTCAGAAGATTTATTTATTTTTCTGATGGTATTAGGGTTTGAACTCAGGACCTTGTGCTTGCCAGGGAGAACTCTATTATTTGAGCCACACCCCAGCCCTTTTTGCTTTTTCGACATTTTTCTAATAGTATCTCATGTTTGCACCTGGGCTGACCTGACCATGATCCTCCTATGTTATGCTTTCCATTGTTGCTGGAATGACAGCTATTGTTTGAGATGGGGGTCTCGCAAACTTTTGGCTCAGGCTGGCCTAGAACTAAGGTTCATCCTGATCTGAGCATCCCAAGTAGCTAGGATTACAGGACAGAGCCAGTGGTCCCTGGCTTGATTCCTTCTCTATATTCCTCTGTTTAGATCATGAGTTCATATTGCTGTTTCTAACTTAGTTCTAATAATGTGCCATAACAGAATCTTCAGCAGCTCCTTATAACCGCTTCCCTGTTCTCTGCATCTGGCCCACTGCCTGTAGTTGTAAATAAAGTTTTATTGATACACAGCCACGCCTACTCATTGATACATCTGCTGTGCCTTCTTCCCCCCATGAATGACAGAGTTGAGTACTGATAAGGACAGAAGAATTTACTCTCTGATCCTTTATGGAAAATCTTTGCCCTGTTAAGTGCCTATTTCAACTTTTAGCCCCCTCCAAAATTACCACTTTACCCTTTCCTTCCATCATTTTTTTTGGACAGTACCGGGGTTTGAACTCAGGGCTTCACACTTGATAAGCACGTGCTCAGCTGCTTGAGCCACGCCTCCAAGTCTTTCCTTTCATCATTTGGTGAACCATGTGAGTTTCTGAGAATTTTGATTATAATTTGTGTCACTTCTTATCCGTTTTTATCTGTCAACATGAAGTCTAAGTCCAGATCATCCTGAAAAGTCAGACCTAAGCCATGGCAGCTCAAATAGGGAGTGTGAGCTCTCCCCAGCTGATTGGGGGACAAGAACCCAACCAGTCCTGGCCAGTGAGGTGAATCTCACTGCATGAATGCACAGGGTGTTCTGGAAACAGGTTCTATGGAGTGAACAGAATCTAGATCTGGGCTGATGTGGCTGAACTGTCTTGATCATTCCATGCCTGCAGGATGCTCTAGCTCTTTTCTGAGAGCTAATAAATACCTTTACTGTGTTCAACAAGTTGAGTCAGGTTTTCTGTTACTTGTGGCCAAAGGCATGTGATTGCCCCTGCTAGCTCTGGTGGCTCTCATTAATGACTTTGTTCTTGCAATTCTTATAATAAACTTTGCACTTTTACACAATACAAAGTATTTATATAAAGCTATAAATACTCTGTATAAAGTTGCCTGACCAAATAGTTTCTATGACTTATTACTACATAATGTACCACTGAGAGGCTCAAAGGGCTTCACTGATGGTCAGGGAGAAAAAAATCGACTGGAAAGGATGTGAAGGAAATTTCTAGAAGTGTGCATGAGTTTCCCTGGGGCTGCTGTAACACATTGTCACAAATATAAACTGAAAACAATCATAGATGTGTTCCACCATGGTTCTGGGGTCAGGAGGCAGACATGGGTCCCACTGAGCTACACTCTGTGTGGCAGGGCTTGTCCCTCCCTGTAGCTCTGCCTGTCACGGTTTCTAGATGCTGCATCCCTTGGCTTGCAGCCCCTTCCTCCCTCCTGAGAACAACAGCATGGAATGTCTCCCATTCTCTCCCTGCCTCTGACCTCCTGCTCCCTCTTCTGAGGACCCCTGGAGACCCCAGGGCCAGATGATCCAGGGTGATCCCCAGCTTAAGGTCATTAGCTTGATCCCATCTGCAGGGTCCCTTCTGTTATGTCAAGGAGCATATTCACAGGTTCTGGTATCAGCTATGGACATCTTTAGGGGCTGTTACTCTGCACACCACAGCATGGATGGAATGTCCCATGTCTTAGTAGAGATGTCACCACTGTGCAAATGTATACTTAAGAGTCGTATAAGTCACTGTATGAAAATTTTACTTTCAGAGAAAATAAAAATATAGCCCACAGCTATATTGCATACTGCTTTTAAAGATGATTTTATCAGTATAAAAGCTCTTTCTTTTTTCTTCCATTTTCTGTTGGGAAAAAATTTAGATTGTTTAAAAGATACTTGAATAACAACCTGATTTATGGCTCACTATTCTTTTCTTCCATTCTTTTTGTCCTTCTTTTTAAAGAACTGCTTGCCTTTCTTCTTTATTTTTAGAATTTTTTCTGCTGTGCTGGGGATGGGAGTTGTAGGATGATTATTTAAGAAAGGAATAGAGGAGCTGAGGGTGTGGCTGAAGTTGTAGAGCACTGGGCACAAGGTCTGGGGATTAACTCTCCAAGACAGGGAGGAGGAAGAACAAAAAGGAGAAAAGACTTGTGCAATATAATTCATTTGTTTTGCAGTCCTGGAACCTAGCATCTCACACATGCTAGGCAAGTGCTCTATCACTGAGCTGCATCAAGCCTACCCCTGTCTTTCTTCCCCTCCACTTTTTTTTGGTGGGACTGGGATTTGAACTCAGGGCTTCATGCTTGCAAAGCAGGTGCTCTACCACTTGAGTCATGCCTCC